AATTTTTGAAATCATATTACATTAATTAATATTAGATTATTTTGTAGTTATTTATATTAAATGTTTGCAGTTATTTTATGTAAATTATTTTATAAATTTTAGATTTTAATTTTTGAAATTCTGAATACATCAAGTAAAAATGGATTTTTTTTAAAAATATCTTTATTTCATCATACCTTTCGACATAAAATTTTATATTATGAAATTCCAATACAAATACAATTAAGAGCCACGATTGTTTGAGTAAGGTAAGGTTCATTATAGGACATTTTTAGGCAATAAAAGGTTTATACAAAATTAAAATATTGATATTAAAAAAATAACGAATTGTATCGATTAGTTTCATAACCAATGGCTATATTATTTAATGATGTTTTTTTATAATTTAGACACAAAAGTAAATTTTAACTGTTCATAATCGAATATAATCTCAAAATTACAATTAATTTACAGATGATTATGTATTTTTTGTCTTTATTTTTATTACTGAAGTTTTACTTGTTATCCTTTGACAATTGCTGTAAAAATTATTATCTAACAAAAAAAATACAACTGAATATACAATATTAATATTAATAGCCAATAATTGTATGTATGTATTTAATACTGAATGCTGCATTAGAAATTATTAACACTATTTGTAATGTTTTTGTTTTATTGATATCTTGATACCCATAATAAATCTTGCAGACAATTTTGGAAACAATTGAGGCGTTTGCATATATCAAAAAGATATTTCTTATCTATTTTTATAAAATAAAAAATAATTATAAATCAATATTTGATTAAAAAAGCAACGATATTTTCATTCATGAGGTATTCATAATCAATTATGAATATGTATCTATAACGACCAGGATGAATTTTTTCATACCTTACATAAAATGAGAGTAAAATTTAAATTAAAAAAAAATCATATGAAGAATATTCTTATTCTAATATTTGATGGCTCGGGATAGGTCTTTTTTGTCGATGGATGAGAGTAAAACCTCTCAATTTATATTTTTTCGGTTCGGTCCTGTAGTTGTTCGTCTTACCGTCCATGGTATTCAGTAATTTACGTTTGAAAATGGAATTTAGGGTTGGACAGATCTTACAGGCACCGACAAAAGAATCCGAATTTTGATCGTAACGAGTTGTCACATATTCCGAAACGGTCATCAAACTAATCCCTTGCGAGATACATATTTCAAAGTAATATAAAAAGTACTTTTATCAAAAATATAAAAAAAAATCGAGCAAATTTGAATTGCTTGAATATTATTTCATCACTTGGATAATCAAAATACTACTTGATTCTTATGTATAAATCTAAGAACATGTAAAATTTATAATAATGCATAAAAAACCCATATCTAGGTAAGAAGCCTTAGATATGGTAAGGCAAGCTGCATAAACTACCTGATATGTGTAAATAACCGACTTACGAATTGAAATTCAGCAACAATTAAAACTTGAAAAATTGAAATAAAATATTCAATTGTTTAATTTGAAAAATTGGTTTTATCTTTCATTATAAACTAATCAATGCGATTCACCCTATCCCTAACATAGGTTCTATACCTGAGGCCCATTATTTGAATGTTTATATTAAAAAACGTTTTCTATGATTTCAAATATTTCAATTTTAACTTTTATTTTAATTTTTACCTTTTATTTTAATTATTGTTATAATTTGTAATTACTATTATTTTTATTTTATTTTTCTATATTATTTCTATTTAGTTTCCTTCTTATATCAGCTCTGTAACTCATAAAGTCATTTTGACTCTGATTGTTATAATTAAATAAATAAAAATAAAAAATAAAAATAGACTAGTTGTTTAACCAATCAACTATCAAAAATCAAAGATTAATTAAAATCAGCAAAAATAATTTAACAATAAGTTACAAAGAAACCAACTTATTAGCACAACCACAATTAGCATGATTCCCATCTGATATATTTCGAACAATTATTATATGTTCAATATCTGTTCAGATTTTTTTTGAAAACGTGGACAAAATTTTTTGCACTTTTTGCTAATCCGAAAGAAACGGCTTGACCGATCGTCTCGCAAAACTGATCAACTAGTTATTATTCAGTTAAATCGAATAGATCATAATTTTTTCCAGAAAACGTCAACAAAAGGTTTTTTTATTGACTATTTGTTGACTTTGTATAAAAACTAACATATACACATACCTTTCCCAATTTTGGTATCAAACGATTCAGAACGACTTGAAACTTTGTAAAAAACTTAATATATTTGTGAATTGGGTTTATACTGGCAAAAGCATAAATTTCTCTTTTGGAAAGTTTAAAAATCAAAATTATTTGCATGTTTAGTTTTTTCATTTATCTAGCTATAACCATGGAACATATATTCAAATGATAATTATTAAACAAAATGTAATTAACCAAAAATAAGCATGAAATCAATTGGTAAATTCAACTAGCTAAAGATAATATTAATTTCAATATCATAAAGTATGTGCATATAAGAACAATATTGAATATTTTTAATATTTAAAAAAAAAAACTTGATAATTTTAAAGCCATAATTATATTTTTATCAACCCTTCTCAAATTTAAGGAATTTTCAAAAAAATTAATTAAAAAATGAAAAGAACTTATAAATAAATTTTATGATAGTTCGCTTAAAATGAAAATCAATTATTTCGAAGAACCTTGATCTCAAATGTTTAAAAATTATATAAACATTTTAAGTATAATATTTCCAAATTTCCAAATCTATTCAAAACTTGCAACTAGTGCCTTTTCTGCGAATTCCTTCAAAATGACACACATTCAATTATAAACCTTTTATGATATAAGTAATCCTTTTATAACAATATCTATTGCTAATTCGTAATGCAAAGGCATATAACTTCGAACGATTTTAATCATGTTACAATAATACACTGAGCAAGTGTAACGGCTATTTCCAGGGGTATGTGGGTCCTATAAATATTAGGAAAACCCCGCAAATCCGAAGACTTTCAAAAATGTATTATAGGGTGGTATAATTCGAATTTCGTGAAAATGGTCTCAGCTGCTCGGCTGACTTTATTGACCGGAAAAACCAAAGGCAAAAATATAAACGGTACTTTGACTTTTCGAAAAATGGCTTTCGTGGGGCAATAAAAGAGGCAAAAATTTAATGCAAAGTGTATTTATATATAATGTATTATATAAAAATTTGAAATAAGTTAAAACTGAAATGGATTCTTTAGTTGCTCAAGAACAGTGTGCATTTTATCGATTTTTTCCTTTATTTAATATAAACCAATGATATATTTATTCATACGAGCATATGGCATTTTTAACTTCCCGTAGGGCAAGTTATAGTAATCGCAAAAAAATCGAAAATGAAATTTTTTATATAACTTTACGTTTCAAAGGTTTCTGAATATTTTGGAATACCTTAGAAAAAATGGATGTATGTGTGTGCGTGTGTGTATGTGTGTGCGGATACAAATTTTTGTCGACGATTTCGGGAACACCGATCAAACCGATTTGAATGTTTAAAAAAACATTCGATTCGTATTGATAAGGAGACGTGCTGATTAGTTTTTGGCGATGGCAGGTCTAGCCGTTCCGAAGATACAAGGCAAAAAGTGTAACTCAGTCTTTAAGAGAACGGAGCGTCCGATTTTAATAATTCAAAAAACATTTTACTTGTATTGACAAGATGAAGGACTGATTAAATTTTTGGGGAGGCAGGCCCAACGGTTATGAACTCTCAATAAAAGTAAATTAAAAAAATTTCATTTCATTTTTCACATCAAATTAACACATATTTTATAGGGATTTTAATAATGTGTACACATTTTGTGTGAATTTTTTTGGGTTCCGTGCCAAGATTTTTAATTACGGTAAGGAAAGTTCCAGCAATTTGCCTTAAGGCACGATGCCATGCACCCAACTGGTTTGGATTTTTATTAACCAATTTTATACTCTGATAAAATTATCTAATTGACTAATTATTGTGCCCCTTGCCCGACATTGTAGTACAAATATTTAATGAAAAAAAATTAAATATTCATACATGAATGAATTTTAGTTCATGAATACGAATCAAAGTCGTCCTTTTACCCAAATGAAATCGACATAAAATAAATATACATAAAAGTACTGTGTCTTTTAAAACTCGAACAAAATTTAAATTTCACCGCACAATTTCATGAAAATTAATATCAAATTAGGTTCTGTTCAGCAAGAATATAAAATAAACTTGTATATCATTTCTTATTTCTAATAACATCGTAAAATATTATATGCATCACATGAATAGAAAAGTGGAATAATAAATACACAATTATTGAGAGTTTGTATATGTTAAGAACTATATTACGCAATAATAATACAAAATTGAAGCAAGCTCTCCGCGCTTGTTGTGGATTATTGCATAAAATAATTTAACTTTTCTCATATGCATTTTATTAATAACATATATTTATATTTGCAAATGTTTTGTAAAAATTACCCCTAAGTGGCACAATAAATGATTTTATCATCATTGCACATGCATAAGTTTAGAAAGCAGAACAAAATATTAATAAAAATTACCTAGTCTATTTAAAACTGACAGCTAGGCGTAAATACAGAAAGAACTAAAACTCATTCTTTGAAATATACAAATGATATTTTAATCTCTACACAAATCACATCATCTACCAATTGACATAAATGTATTTTCTCAATAATTTCATGGTTATCTATTAATCATTTGTTAATGATAACAACATAACAAATAATAAATTCGTTAATTTCATAACGGATTCCGTTTTGAAATCACAGAGAAATTAGTTGTCAATGTGGCAACACCACAATGCAATGATAGTTTGACAGTTGGCATCTGTCATCATCATCGTTCTTTTTTAGGTTATGTTAAGAAATTATTTAATTTGCGCCAGTTTTTATTATTTATACCAATTTCATGTTTAATAATTATATAATTAACATGTATATACGATAATTATTATTATCGAAACAAACTTCTTGTTCATTTTAACTTCTACGACTTTAAACTTGTTAAAATTAAAAACTAACAATGAATAATCCATTAAATAAGATCGAAATTAGTAAAGCGTCCCTCTTAGGTTTGAAGGCTGAGCTTCTAAAATCTAAAAATGATTTTGAAAAATTAAAATTAGATTTACAAAAGAATCCAAAGCCTGTTAAAAAAGATAAAAAGCTAAAAGTTGTTAAGGAAATCAATGAGACGAAACAAATCGATCCCGAAGAAATTGAGCTGCTCAGGAAATCTAAAGAAATATTACAAAAGAAAACCGAAATATATAATGATCTAGTCAAACCTGGAACATCAACTGAAAATGTGAATGATATTTATTTAGTTCAATTTGCAGAAAAACAGAATGAAAGTCTGACAGAAAATATAATAGATGATGAGCCAAGCGGATCTGATACCGAAGATCATAACTCCTCAGAAGATGAAGTTGAGTATGTTGATTATTTTGGACGGACGCACACATACCCTCGTAAAGATTTACACATGTACATAAATAAAGATAAACGGTTAAGTAAAATGTTGCAACTGTTTCCAAGTGATAAATTAGTAAGTGATATAGATAGATTGAATTTACTTAATGGTAAAGATAAAACAGCAGAAAACAATTCTGATGTAAAACTTGACCAGTTGCACAAAGAGTGGAAAAAACAGGAAGAAATCTTGAAATCAAAAAATGTAATACATTACCAGGATATTCTGTTCAATGAAGCACGCATGCATGGTGTAGCTTATTACAGATTTTCTTCTGATGATGCAGAGAGAGCAAAACAGCACAAAGCATTAGAAGATTTACGTCAAGAGACTTTACAGGAACAGAAAAAAAGAGCAGAACACAGGGCGCGTAGAAACCATGAGAGAAAGCTTAGAGTATTAGCAGCCAAAAATAGAGTACGGGCTCGTAAAGGTTTACCACCTCTAGAGCTAGTTGAAGAAATTTCAGAAGAAACAGTTAAAGTACTTACACAAGAAGAACAATTTGCACAACAACAAAAGGAACGTGAAGCCATATATGAGAAGAAGAAAGAAGAAATGCGGCATTTAAAATTGCGGCCTTGGGATGATGACACAGAAGAAGGAATCCCCGTTTTCAATGAAATGAGCCAGGAGCAATGGGTAGAAAAGAAGCGGAAAGAAAGAGATGAACAGTTTGCACCTCCATCGTTTTATAATGATAATAAAAGTAAATATACAAAACAAAAGAGAACATTTTCTGAACAGCCAACTTCTGAAGCAAATGCATATAATGACAGCCAAGATTTAAATACAAATGTTATAGAAGATAAATTAAGAGAATTAAGAAATAAAGTGGAACAACCTGTTGAACAGGATGAAGAAAAATTTTTACATTTCACTTCAAAACCTGTTTTAAAAAGAAAAAATATAAGCATGTTCACACCGCAGCCAATTGTTAATGAAGTAAGTGATAATTCTTCTGGTGAAGAAGTTTTGGAAGATACTGATAAATCTCATAAAAGACAAGGTATTGAAATACCTCCTCCTGCTACTTTTGAATATTATGGACCTAATACTACGAAAATAAAGCGCCCCAAAGTGGCAGCTAGTAATATAGAAGAGTCAATTTCTGCTGGATTAGAATTCCTTAAGGATAAAGTTAAAAATAGAAGAAAAGTAAATATAGATCACTTAGATATGTAAGTTCTTGTTATATTGTATAAAATTATTTTAAAATTATGTACAAATACAGTCAGAGAAAAAATATAACAAACAAATATTTTATTACAATCACTTTAGTTGTTTTAAATCTTGTGGAACTCCATCTATTACCTTAGAAGTCATAACATCATCTTCATAAGTCATTACAGTTTCACGACCATTCTCATTCACCCTTCAATTACATGCATTATATATATATATATATATATATATATATATATATATATATAGATATATAGATATATATATGTACTTTATCTGATTATGATGAAAAAAACTCATTAATGAGTATACCTTATGGTTGTTTTCCTTTTTCCTTTAATAAATGTAGTTTCTGATGTTATTTTTTTATAATAGTCTTTATGTTTAACATCTGGTTTATCATCATCTGCAGCTATTACAGGCATATTGAACATTCGCTCTGATATTTTAATCATTTCCTCAGTGAATTTAAACATATCATTAAAATCAGATGTAAGAGTTTTGAACACATTAGATGGAAAGACATTCCAATTGTTGCGCAGATTCATGCTTGCTTCATTTATATTGGTTAATTCTTTAGCCATGTTCTCAAGTGCTATAATAAAAGAAACATAGATTGAACTAGTATGTCATGATACCCCTTTACTAATTCGAACTATAGATCTTATTTAGGAATAATTATTACTTTCAGAATGTTTTTTCATAAGAGCACCACTGTCTATTTTAAAATCTGCATGTGTCCGAGTCCTGAGATGTTGGTCATATAAACGTTTTGTTTGTGCTACATAAAATACATTATATATTATTCATATATAAATACAAAGAAATTTTTTTAACAATACAACCATTTGACAGAACTTCATATGCCTTTGATATATCTTTATAACTTTCCCCTGTTGAATTTTTATATTTCATATTATCTCTTCTGTGCCATCTCTCAGAGAGGTCTTTGTATCTACGAAAATAAACATGAAACGAAAATGCATAGAAGTTTATATATATATAATCATTATCTACTTACGATTTCCTAATATCCGATATTGTTGCATTTCTAGGTAATTTCAATACACTATAATAATCTAAATATTTGGTAACTCCCATTTTTCTAAACTAAAAATTTTGATACCCACGCAAAACAAATAAGAATGTGTCAATTTTCCCATGTTTTAAAATTTTCAACAACTACTAGATTTTGCTTGTTTTCTAATATGATTTATTCACTTATTTTAATAACATATTTGCCATTTATTTCACTTCTTATACAGGTATTACATATTACTAAGATCACACTTTATATTCATGAGACTTTCAAAGTCTACAGTAAACAGCAAAATTTTTCTTAATCTATAATAATATAAATCCTGAGCTGAAATTATGGAAAAATACCATAACCTCATCTCATCATAAAATGATTTGATTTTTAACTGTAGAGAACATTTTCTTTCACAAAATTTTTATATTATTACACAGTATGGCAATAAGAACTACAAATTTATATCTCTCATATTATTATAATATGATTAAACCTTTCCCTATTAATCAAATTAATATTGGTCACAAAGTTAATGAGCATGTTACCTTGTTGTTCAATGGAATATTGTAAATATATCTGAAAATTATAAGCTTTCTGAACTAAATACATTATTTAAACAGATTTAGAATGTGATTTGGCCCAATATTAAATATATTAATGCCATTAAAAAATATAAATTCAAACATATCATCAGCATTGTAGAAAAATAAATCTGCAGAGAAGAAAATTACAAATTAAGTTTTCTTTCATTTATATCAAAGTCTTTTCATTATTAAAAGTAACACTAATTGTGAATATTCTTACTTGTACATTTATTTCATATCTTGTGTGTATTTCATTAAAAAAATATTTAAAGATTGGAACAAGATGTGGGACACTATTAAATTTAATACATTGAAAAACAATCAGCAATATTTTAAAAGATAATGAATTTACATCATTTGATGATCTATTTGAACATGTTAGTATCCAGATTATAATTTCATTAGATAAGTATGTAAAAAAAAAATAAGTATTTGAGATAATAGCCATAATCACTGTAGAAATAATTTTAATCAATGTATAACACATTGATACAACAAGATAAAATCCATGGACATATGTACACAATTTATATTTTTCTTAAATTTCACCAAATCTTATTTTAAGATCGTGGTATAGAATCTAAATGTTATGTACATATGTACGTCTTAATAATATATATATATATATAGTTTTAATAAGCTAATTACAATTACATATAGTATTGGTATTTGAATCAATTAGGTATCCACTCAATAAAACTGAAGTTAAGCCATGGAAACTTAATGTAATTAATGACTGATAATTTTGCTATATGTTTCAGCAACATTGTTAACTATATAAATTTGGGACTTACTTAAATACAAAAATCTTATAGCTAATGCATTAAATTAAACTGTCGTAAAGTATTATAAATTAATTAACTATAGATACAGTCCTGAGCTCTGTGCAAAAGTAAGATGCCAAGAGTTCTATGAAGGTATTTTTACATCTAATTTCGATATTGAATGTTATTTAATGCAAATATACATGATACATATGAAATTAAACACATTATAATGAAAATGGACAGATGGTCTATATTATAATAAAATATGTACTGTATGCATAAATTTAAAGTCTGGTGATAATTAAACTTCTAATCTGTCGCATGTTAACATTGATTAGTTGTATTCAATATGAAGAAATTTCATGTAATCATTCCTAGCTAAAAGTTTTGCTCAAACAAATATGTTGAATTGATGAAATCTAAATTTATATTGTTCTAAATATAATTTATTTAACTGTAGCTAATAGCTTGTGGAACGCCATTCACAGTCTTTGATGTAAGGATGTCATTTTCGTAAGACATCACCGTTTCCCTTCCATTTTCCATCACCCTGAAAGTAAAATATAATGGTTAATATTAATATGCTTTAAATTATACTTGTTCTAAAACATGCTACACCCGACTTGGTACCCGACTTACGAGCGACCTGACATACGAGTGTTTCGAGATACAAACCGCTAAAGAAGCGATTTATTGGTTACATAAGAGCAAAATTTGAGATGAGCTTTAGGCGTTTTCTCAAAAAAAATTAATAGTGAAATAAAATATCAAATATTTCATTAGTTGTAACTATGATTTTCTTACCAGTAAAATATTTTGGCTATTTTGGTAAAGTAATATATAATTAGTTATTTTAATTATATATTAATATTAATGTGTAGTAACAATTTACTCCTTTGAATATATAGGAGCATTATTTTAACATTTGAAGCTTTAACTATACCTCAATAGTTATTGTACAGTTATATATGTTGAGTTCGCAAATTATATTTACTTATATGACCATGTCTCTTGAATTAAAGTGTGAAATTATTGGAAAATATGAGGATGTATAAGCGTAACACACCACAGATATGTAGTGTGTTTAAACAGAAGGAGTTGATAGAAGGCATAGCCTGAGCTAAGAACCTTATAATAATTTATAAGCTACTTTAGAAATTCTATAACTCTGTGAATGAAAATTACCCTGAAAAAGTTTCAACAGAGCATGAGAGCTGTTTAATGAAACATCCTTTTCCGCAATATAAACAGGAAAAACAATAATTAAATTGAAAATAATAAATTTATTTTAAACAAATTAATAGCGTTTCAATGTATTTATATGTAAAAAAATCTAAAACGTCCGATTTGACATACATGCTTGGTTACGAAAGGAATTAAACTTGTATGTCAGAGTACCATTGAATTTGTTTTATTTCAAATTATCTGACCTACTTATATAAATTAAAACTTCTTTTCATGAAATTATCTCTAAGGCTTAAAAAAGAATAACTCAATAGTAAACCAAAATTTGAAGTAGTTCTTAAAAATATAGTAGTACTTAAAAATTATAATCTATAAGAATCTAATTGAAATTTGAGAGTCATTTGTACATTATATTACTAAAAATATTAAATAACTTTGCATATCACATACGTATTTGATTTTATTATAATAATTTCTATTACTAATTTACTAATTTAGTACAAGTAAAGCTGATTTACTTACTTCTTAGTAGTGATTTTCTTTCCATTAATAAATTTTGTAGATGTGCTAGTTCTCTTTACAGAACCATTTACATTACTTCCATAATCCATACTTGAAGAAAATGAGGAAAATCCATCCGGCACCATAAACATCTCATCGAATCCAAAGTTGGACATTCCGAATCCAAATGAAGAGAATGGATTGAACATATGAGATGAGACTGTGTTTTGTGGATGAGAATGGCGATTCGTGCGCCTAGAACTAGACGACCGATGTCCATTCATACCTTTAAATGATAATTAAAATATAATATAATTATTATTGAAGTATCTTCCACAAAAATGTTACAACAATAATTTTGCTGAGGCTATTTTTCTTCAAATTTTATTCTAATTGTGAATCTCACCAGCCAAGATATCACTGAAAGGAGAACCTCCAAAGAATTCCCGGAAGACATCTTCTGGATCACGGAACGCAAATGGAAAGCCAAAGTGCATATCGAAATCTTCATCATGTCCTCTGCGTGATCTACCACAACTGCCTCCGGAATTTGAGAGACCTTCTTTTCCATATTGATCATATACACGCCGCTTCTTATCTAAAATATAATCGAGATATTGTACAGTGACTAAAAAATCATATCTATAAGAAGTTATTAATAAAATTAAAGAAGAAATTGAAGGCAAATAAAAATCAGGGATATTAAAATGTTATAGCGTTCATTGTGTTGCAAAATATAATTAATTATATCGAAATTATTGTTTATTTAATTAATCCTAAAGTTATTAAGTCAAAGGCTTGCTTTTCTGTTAACATTTTTGCATATCACACATTAATAAACGCATTATTTAAGGATGACACCACCTAAAGATTGCTATTAGTAAAATTGAGTGGTTAAATAAAACCTAATACCTAACCATCAATAATTTTTATTATTTTGTATTTGAATTAGGTAAACAGTTAGCAAAATGATGTTATGAAGAATGATTTGCCTTTAATTATTTCCAATATTAATGGCGAGGTAAACTAGCCAACAAGCAGGTATAAGTGACGATTTTAAAATGCATATTAGAACATCAATCAATCTCGATCATGCCAAGCAGAACTCGCAGTAACTGTAATCACTCAAGGGTAATTTTACTACCAAAAAATCGATGAAACGGGGTCTCAAAAAATCCACGGAATGTGAAACCTTTCCCTGGCCCCTTGGCATAACCACAGCCACTACGTGATCCACCATAATGTGTGTGCGAATGCGCATGCGAATACTGCCTGTTGTCGTATATCCTTCGTTTGTGATCTAAGAACCAAATTGTTAAAGCAACCAAGCCATACTAGACTCAATTTCTAACATTAAAAGCTGAAAAGTATATTTAATAACATGCTTTCCTAAAAATTAGGAGTAGATTTACAGAGCTCATAAAGGTTATGCCTAATGTTCTTTTCTACAATAGATGTAAATCGAATAAGTATGTTTTCGCATATCAAAATCTTATTTTTTAAAGTTGTGTTATGAAATTAATAAACTAAAATAAGAAATGCTTCTAATAAAGTAAATTAAATATCTTATGTGATTCTCAAATATTACATATTTAATTCTACACCATCAGTGGATTTACAATATGAATTGTATTATTAGAAATAATAACAGCTTTTTAAAAATCTTTGCTGTATCCTTTTTACTTGATGTTATGCCCTCTAAAAATTTAATCATACAATTCAATGGCAAATTTAACTATATATATATATATATATATATATATATATATATATATATATATATATATATATATATACATATATATGTATATATATATATATATATATATATATATATATATATATGTATATATATATATATGTTGAAAATGTTTAAATTTGATGTTGAAATGTTGACAGAATCACTGTTTGGCACTGGCCTCGGATACAAGTGTATTACGTATAATATTTTATTTATTAATCACTTTTTATCTTTTATTCTTTTTATTAAAAAAAAGAAATTACTGACAGTTAGTGCTTGTCTATAATTATTAATTTTTACAAGTTATATTAATATGTGTTAGTGATAATATAAATAATTCAAAACCACTGAAGATGACGTAGAATTTTACGTCAAAACGTATGGATAAATAAAGATGTTTTGAAAAAAATCTTTACTTTTTTTACTTGATGTTACGCCCTCCAAGAAATCTATCATATATATATATATATATATATATATATATATATATATATATATATATACATATATATAGAATTTTGTGATATGAGAGGAATGAATATTTAAAGTTAAATATGAACAATACAACACTCAGATTTTTAACACACACTTTATTTAATAATTACAGATGTTTCGAAACCATGGTATGCCTCATCTTCAGTATAATTTCAAAACAGATAAATGATTGATCTTATTCTCTTCAATAAATTAATCTGTTTTCACATTTGTTGATTTTGGATAATAATATCCCTACTTGTCCCTTCATCTTAGACACTTAAGGTTTGTTTTCAAATATTTCTGTATATATTCAAATGTTTAGTACTGTGTCAAGTAAGAGGTAGTTGGTGTTTTTTTTGTTTTTCAAAAATTAAATATAATTTAAATAAAATATTAAATGTATTAGTATATAAATTTTACTGTTTTGAAATTACACTGAAGATGAGGCATACTATAGTCTCAAAACGACTGTAATTATTATATAAAGTGTGTTTTAAAAATCACACATGTTCATATTTAACATTTAATATATAAATACATATATAAATATATATATATATATATATATATATATATGTATTGAGAATATTAGTTATTAATTTACCATCTGATAATACTTCATAAGCTTCTGAGATTTCTTTAAACTTTCTATTGGCCTCTTCGGAGTTGTCTGGATTTTTATCAGGATGCCATTTCAATGCCAACTTGCGATACCTAAAAATTAAAAGTATATAAAATACAATGCAATTAAAACTTATCCCCCCATAAGCATTAAAACTCAATTATCACTAGTTATCACTAGTGAAAATATTCATATTATGAATTTATATATATGTTTTAAGAAATGTTTTCTTTTATTATATAATGAGTGCTTATCTCGAGGAGTTAACGAGTTCTTAATAAATTTTAAAGTGTCTGTTTAATACTTACGCTTTCTTTATCTCTGCCGTAGAGGCTCCACGAGTAACCTCCAGAACTCGGTAATAGTCAACCATTCCAGTATATATTTTATTCTCTTGAGATAATTAAAAAATTAGTCCTGCAACAAAATAAAACAAATAATTACAACTTAGCAAACACAAGAATATCAACTAGAAAAAATATATACAGACGATAAATTTAAATGCAAAATTATTTTAATATTCCAATTGATATTTAATTAGGATTTCAGAATGACCCACTGCAATTTTCCTTTTCGTTAATTAAAGATTAAATAAAGTATACAATATTTTTTTTGTTAGGTTATGTTTTAAACAAAACAGAATCTCCATGTGACAGTTCTATAAATATTTTGAGATCTATTAAATAATTTAATTATAATATAGTATATTCAATATAAAATAACTTAAATCTGAAATATACATTCAAAATACTTACAAACTAAAGAAATTATACACGTAAACCAAAATTTGAAGTACAGCCACTAATCGTCGATCTGAACTGGCAGTTAATTTAAATAAATGACATAATTAGGTGCGATTCTTCAAATTAAAGGAATTTATGTAATAATTTTGAATTATTCAAAATATTAAATATTGGTGCAAAATTTATTAGCAAAACCTACTATAAAAATATCTTTGATTTATGATACGAGTACGAATACAATAGGTTATGTCCTCGAATCATTTTTTCCAGTATCGCAATGGCGCATGCGCAGGATTATCATATCAATAAATGTAGATTGAAACCGAGAAGACGAGTTATTCCGCGTTTTTTAATTATTAATAAACGCGCGAAAATTCATCTTAAAATAATTATTGTTAATAAAATCATCATAAATACCCATACCTCAATTTGTGTCGTTCTTACGTCCCAAAAAACGCGATCAAATTGAAACGGCGCAGGGTGAATTAAGTGAATTAACTTTTTTTACCAAAGCATATGGAGACTGTAGACCATAGGTTCCCAAACTTTTTTTGGGTCGTGACCCCCAATATCATTTTTTTTTAAATTCTGACTGTATTAAATTTTATTACTAAATATTTAATGTAAAAATACCCTTTACTTGTATAAATTTATCAATTGGATTTAAAATTTTAAAAATAAAAAATATAAAGTAAGCAAAAAGTAAATGTTTAATTTTTAACATTTGGCAACAATTTTGTAAGGTTTTTCTCACACATTCGGAATAATGATGTACAGCCTACAGCTTTTTTTGTTAGTTCATTACAAGTATAATACAAGTAAATAAATAAATAAATAAAGTAAATAGTATAATACAAGTAAATAGGTATTAACGTGGTGTACTGTAATCCGCCATCGTGGACCTACATTTTCCTTTCGTGGACCCCAAATTTTTTTCGTTGACGTGGACCCCCTGAATTTTGTCACTTTGGGAATAACTGCTGTAGAAAGATTCCAGAGTCACAAAAATACAATTTTTTAAAAAGAAAATTGAAAAAGTTAAAAACTTTGATTTATAAAAATTTATTTTATAATAATTTATTAAAAATAATTGTCTGAAATTGAAATTGATTGATGAATGTGTTTATTTATTATATTATTAAAGTCCCGTAGGACAAGCTACAGTAATTGCAAAAAAACGAAAATGAAATTTTTTATATCTTCAAATATTTCTTAATTTTGGCATACTTCAGAAAAAATGTATGTGTGTGTGCGCGGATTCAATTTTTCGTCCACGATTTGGAGAGCACGAATCAACCGATTTGAATGATTAAAAAAATATTTAATAAATATATAAATTATTTAATAAAATACATTCGATTCCTATTGATAAGGAGACGTACTGATTGGTTTTGGCAAAGGCAGGTTCAGCTGTTTCGAAGGATACGAGGCAAAAAGTGCCAAAAATGGTGTTTCATATTCTGAGAGAACGTTCGATTTCAATAATTCAAAAAACATTTTACTTGTATTGACAAAATGAAGAATTGATTAAATTTTTGGGAAGGCAGGTCTAGCGGTTTCGGGAATTCAACCAATAAAGTGAAAAATGTACCATTTGGCAGTCAAAAATGATCATTAGACATATGTATAACAACAAATTATAAGATATTTTATAGAGATTTCAATACTAACAATAAGTACAAATTTTGTTTACATTTCTATTAATTTCGTATCAATCCTTATCCGTTAAACTGCGACGCAGCGCTTAAGCGTTTCAATAGTTTGTCTCTAAAATAGTGCTATTGCTTTGAAACAAAGTTTAAAATTTTCAAAATAATTAAAATAAAAAAAAGTAATTTTTCCAAAAATTTTGAACGATTGCTTTGAAAAAAGAGTTCAATATTTTCAACAAATTTCAATATATAAAAAAATTAAATTTGTTTAAAAAACACAAATTTTATTAAAAATTTAATTTATTAAAAGTTTTCAAAAAAAATTTATTATTATATAATAATTAATAAAATTAATATTAATAAATATTTAATTTCCTATTTAATTTAATATTTATTAATAAAATTTTAATTTCCACTACCGGAAGTGAAACAAAGTTTAAAATTTTCAAGAAAATTAAAATAAAAAAATGTAATTTTTCCAAAAATTTTAAACGATTGCTTTGAAAAAAGAGTTCAAAATTTCTAACAAATTTCAATATATACAAAAGAATAATATTTTTTAAAAAACACAAATTTTATTTAAAATTTAATTTCTTTAAAGTTTAAAAAAAATTAAAGCTTATTAATAAAATTTTAATTTCTACTATAAGGAAAGTTTTAGCAATTTGCCTTAAAGTACGATGCCATTCACCACCAGTTCTTATGAATGAAAATAATTTATTGTGATTTTTAAGTAATTATCCCTCTATAAAGTAAGAGGGAATTCAAAAATTGCACTCGCTCGAAAGCGGGTGCGGGTAATAATATTTGGGTGCCAGCATCAGCGTCCTCACTAAACGATCATTGTACGCTATGCTCCCCCAGACAAGGAAGGCCGAATACGTGCAAACACCGTTACTTATAGTGTCCGTTCAGTATTGTAGATCGAGTGTTGCGCTTACGGTGTAGACTGGAGACCTCTATTGATAAATGTAAATATTTCATCCGCAAGAAACTAAATATTTATATACAAATTAATAAATGATTAATTCACAGTTATTAATTCAATATTTATAAATATTGATAGTATTTATACTATGTCTAATATACAGTGCTAGATTTACAGTAGGGGCAATCGGGGCTACTGCTCAGGGGGCAAAATTTGGATAGTGATTCTATACAATATAATCAACTTTTTTAAAAATTTTTATTTCAAGAAATATAATTAACAAAACATTATACGATTGCAATGCAAAATTTGGGTTGAAATAACCGATTATTAAAATTTATTATTTTGCATTGCCTGCCTCCCTCGCCGGACGTAAATTATCATATAGTGATAATTTGATAATAAGTTATCAAATTTGAAAATTTGGCTAATATAAAGATCCGTAAACAAACTGAAAGTTTAAGAAAAGTATTTTCTTCAGATCTCGAGCCTTCTTAAAATGACGAATTTGTGCACTGCCAAGCTATAGCTTCGAAAATAATTTAAACTAATGACGCGTGGCGTTGTGCCTTAAGACAAATTATTGAAACATCCCTTACTGAAAATTACATTTTATAAAGAGCTTTAACATTTTTTGAAAAATAAAAAAAAATGACTTTTAAAACATATTTTTTGTATTTTGAATTTTTTTGAAAATTATGAACTTTTTGCAAAGTTATCGCGCTGCTTAGCTGTTTCAGAGAAGAAATATCGAAACTCAATTACCATTTTTCGTAATTGCCTGTGCCACAAACTTATAAGCACGTCTCCCCATCAATACAAATCTAATATTTTTTAATTATACAAGTCGATTTCGGGAACACGGATAAATCTATTTATATGATTCAGTTCCTATTGATAAGGAGACGTGCTGATTAGTTATTGGCTAAGGCAGGTCCAACTGTTTTGAAGATACGGGCCAAAATGCCAAAAATGATAATTCAGTTTTTGAGAAAAGAAGCGTCCAATACCATTCAAAAAATTTTTACAGAATAAATAACTGCTTAAATTTGTGGGAAGCAGGTTTAGCGGTTTCCATGATCCAATAAAAAAAATTGACAAAGAAACATTTAGTGGACAGTGATCATAAGACATATGCACATCAAATTATCAGATATTTTAAAAATATTTTAATAACAAGTATAAATTTTGTTTACATTTATATGCGTTCTGTAATATTATTTATCCGTTAAACTGCGACGCGGCGCTTATGCGCTCCTATATTTTGTCCTTACTCAGACGAAGCAGCGCGATTGCTTTAAAAAAAACTTTGAAAGTTCGTAAAATTTCAGGGATGGGGCGGCATTTTTGTCAGTGCCCCGGGGCGCCAAATTTCTAAATTCGGCCCTGCTAATATATCTAGTTATGAAACATTGCTTATACAAAATAGTAGAGTTTTATTCATGTTACAAAGTTAACAATCTGTTTACACTTTTCTAAATATTGAGCAAATTTTTCTAAATATTGGCACTCAGCTTAGATAATAATACTTGTTCCATTCATCCTTGACAATAAATTGGCAAGAATAAATAGCAGAACATTCGACAGTAAAACTAAAAAGATATAAAGTAAAATTGTACAAAAGTACATTATTTAATTTGAAAGATTTCGACAGAATAAAATAGTTGAACATGTCAGTCTCTAAGTGTCAGGTTTGATGACGAATACGAGATTTGTGGGCGCTCTCTTTGGACACGCGGGGGCTCCCTATTATAGCCATGCATGACGTAAGACTTTGGAATAAATCGCAGATGTCTCGAAATAAAAGTGTGTTGACTTATAATAAAAAATCTTAACATTTCGGCTTGGATGTCTTTCTAGATATTATCTCATCTTATTAATGACAATTTATGTGAATGTTATAACAATTACCTTCTAATTTGATTAGACACTTTTAAGGATTTGAATACCATTTTTGAGATATATTAAAAATTTATGACACATTATAATTAACTTCCCGTAGGGCAAGTTACTATAACTTGCCCTACGGGCAAAAAAAATCGAAAATGAAAATTTTTATATATCTTTACGTTTCAATGGTTTCTGAACATGTTGGCATACCTTAGAGAAAATGGATGTATGTGTGTTTGTGTGTGTGTGTGCGGATACAAGTTTTCGTCGACGATTTTGGGAACACCGATCAACCGATTTAAATAATTCAAAAAACATTCGATTCATATTAATAAGGAGACGTGCTAATTAGTTTTTGGCAAAGGCAGGTCTAGACGTTCCGAAGATACGGGGCAAAAAGTGCCAAAAACGGTAACTCAGTTTTTAAGAGAGCGGAGCGTCCGATTTTAATAATTCAAAAATCATTTTACTTGTATTGACAAGACGAAGATCTGATCAAATTTTCATAAAGGCAGGTCTAGCGACTTCAGAGATCTGATGAAAAAAAATTAAAAAAAAATGACATTTGGCGGTCAAAAATGATCATTAGGCATATGCACATCAAATTATCAGATATTTTATAGAGATTTTAACAATAAGTATATGAGTTCCGTACCAATGTTTATTTGTTAGACGGCGAGTTAGGATTTCACTACTATTCTTGAGATATATTAAAAATTTGTAACACTTTATAATTTTAAAATGAAATTTCATTCTGTAAATTAAAATATTGCTATGTAATTTTTTTAATTTCAATACTTCAAAGTTTCTGAAGACACATCCAATAATTTAATGTAGAAAATATTTAAAAATAAAAAATTATATGAATTGTTTAAAAAAAAAGATTTTGTATATGTATATTTACATTACATATTAAAAATATCTACAACTTTTTTATTAAATAAAATAGTAATAACAATTGTTATTACGTTCGATATACAATACTGAAGTTAAAATTTAGGGTTTTCTAAATATTAAAAAATTTCAATGATTTTTAGTCTCTTTTTATATCCTTTATATTAACGTTTTCTAACAGCAAAATGAATGATATTAATTCGCAACAAGCAATAAATGTAGCCGATTACGAAACTGTTGAAGACCTTGGACTTTTTGCGGACGTAGGTGGTAATTCTTTAAAATACTTTGATATACTATAATTATATGTTAATGTAACATTTAACGGTAAAACTTATGAAATATAAAGATCAATCCTCCTAAAATCATCAGGACCATCAAAATTAAAGAACATTTTTGACGACTAGTAAAATTTAACGTGCTTTAGCATCAATTAAGCCTAGATTACGCACCATATTTAACAATAATTTAGATTAACTAAATGAGTTTGTAATAGTGTCATTAACAAACCTTGCCTAGATAACTAATAGACAACACATTAGTATCCGCACGCGACATAATGCAATCATTATTGTTTCGTTCGAGAGCACACGCAAATTCAATTCCGTCAGGATTATGGGTGAAGGTAAGTCAACTCAGGGGCCATTGACTAGAATGCCTAGAATCCGGACAGCAAAATACCTTAAGACCACTCCGGCTGACACAGATAGCCTAAGTTCTATGCATAAACGCCCGCAATCCTTGCACGACGGAGACAAGTTAATTAAGACCGATTGTTCTAATTCTAGTGGTTTTACCCGAATAAATTATCAAGTTAAATTAGAATTAATGATTTTCAATTGGAACTTAAATTTAAATTGAATTTCTGCTGAAATATGGCTCCTCGAAGTAAGTAAATATACTGCAAAGCAAAAGCAGATAAGTTTATATGCTTATATAGTGCTTACACAAAAGAGCGCAATCGAAAATTTGAAGATGCATTGTGAACGCACCCTGGTACAAATGACACTCTACATAAAGACCTAAAAATAAAAACTATTAATGAAATAATAAAAGAGAGGAGCAAAAAATACCACAAAGAATACCAAGTCACCTAAAAAATATTTAAAAGAATTAAGCGAGGAATAGATCTTAAATGAAATGTCAAAAAATTAAAAAAATATATCTCATAGGAGATAATCTCTTTGGATGCATTTACACCCAGCATATTATCTTAAAAAATTAATTCAATAAATCTATGCAAAAAATATACAGAAGTCAGATAATAATTTTAGTGTCTCATCATCTAATCTACAGTATTTCACGTTTTAATCTGTAGTGTTTGTAAATAATTAATTGTTGGCTGAGATCAGATCAGACTTAGGTCAAGTTTGCGTTTATTTTTTCTTCTGGCTTGGGTCAAGTTTGCCTTCAACATGCTTTCAAAATATTGCTATATTTTATCATATTTTTTCTTTTAATATAGATTGATTTAAAACTGCTCAGCATTGAAAATCAAATTCAGTATTAACAAATACTAATATTTGAATATTACTTATCTAAATTAATTTTCAGTTTTGCAATAATTATGGAACTTTTTTTGGCGATATATATCATGGTCTTATAGAACTTACTAAAATATAACGGCCTTACGACAAGTAGTTTAATTTGAAAAATTCATCAAAGTTAGAGAAAATCAGTAGTTTTTTGGCGTATATATCATGGTCTTATAGAGCTTACTGAAATATAACGGCCTTACGACAAGTAGTTTCATTTTAAAAATTCATCAAAATTTGAGAAAATGAGTAGTTTTTTTAGCGTTTGTTAAAATTAAAATTAAACGATTTACTTGGTATAACGATAGAGTACTTGGTCTTAATAAACATACTAAACCATTAAAGTCCAACGCAAACTGGTTCTATTATAAAAATTATTGATTTTTGAAAATTTGCTTTTAGAAAATACTCCGAGTTAACGTGTTCGTTCGTTTTCAATTATGTGTAATAATTCCACTCGGAATACTTTTAATCACTCTAAATTAATTTATTTTTTATTGATTAAGTCGATTATTTACACATTTCGGAAAGTTCATGTAACTTGCTAATTTTCAGTTTGTAATACATTGGGAGTTTTTTACGATTAGTTGAAAAATAATATTTGTAGTTATTGAAGTAGTCACTTGTT